TAAAATTCCCAGCTCCCCAAATTCCAAAATTCCCAAAACTCTACGCCCCCAAATTCCGAAATTCCCAAATTACTACGTCCCCAAATTCCCACCTCCCCCGATTCCAAAATTCCTAAATTTCTACATCTCCAAATTCCCAACCCTCCAAATTCCAAAATTTCCAAATTTCGACGCTTCTAAATTCTCAGCTCCCCAAATTCCAAAATTCCCAAAATTCTACGCCCCCAAATTCCGAAATTCCCAAATTACTACGTCCCCAAATTCCCACCTCCCCAAATTCCAAAATTCCTGAATTTCTACGTCCCCAAATTCCCAACCCTCCAAATTCCAAAATTCCCAATTTTCTACGCTTCCAAATTCTCAGCTCCCCAAATTCCAAAATTCCCAAAATTCAACGCCCCCAAATTTCAAAATTCCCAAATTACTACATCCCCAAATTGCCAACTCCCCAAATTCCAAAATTCCCCATTCCTACCTCCCCACCTACCCTCTTCAAACCCAAATCTATTCATACTAAAATTAAAACATCATCCAAACTAAATATCTGAAAACCCCAATTCCTAATTCAATAACTTTTATCCCAGACAAGATTTTGTTTCATAAAATTTAATTCCAGTCATATCATCCAATAACTCGAATTTATTGTTTTAATTATTCAGAGTCACATTTCGAGACGTAAATAATTCATTCCTTATTTATGTATATCCCGTATCAAATTCGGGACATTAAATTAATGAATCTTTCTACAAACGGAGAAATTCAATTTATAACGAATTTACGTGACGATATTGGAATAAAAGTTCAAATATTAAGAAACGTTATTGCGCTCTCAAAATGGCGCTCCAGGCTGTTACCGAATATACGACGTTGACCATACGCAAGTTGCCATACAAGAGCTGTATCGATAGAAGACACGGTTCAATAACTCTCAGATCGAAGAATCGTTACGGATCGATCGTGCTTCCAGGCTGTTCTCCGCACAATGCTCTTTCGTGGCAGGCAACATCGCGTATACAATTAACGGAGCTTGTTAAAAGATCAAAGAAGTTACGAAGAACTCGCAGTTCCGTCGAGGCCGTCGAGCTACCCAGTCTACTAATTAACGGAAGTTAATACTAATTAATAGGAGCGTCTGATTCACGACAAGAAACGCGTGCTCGTTACTGGGCATATTTACGCCATAAAGCCTTAGCTAAGTTCTGTTTGGGGCGTTCGCAAGATTTCTACAGGACGAGACGTTGTCCTCGCTCTATCGTGTTTACCCTAACTCGATCCTCAATTATCCGCATCGGTGCGAATTAGTCGACGTTTCGCTCTCGCAAAGTCGGCGCGAATTTATTCGACGAAACTACTCGCGCTCGCCGCTCGCGTACAGACGCCACCTGAAAAGCTGCTCGCCGAACGGAAACGGGAATATCTCGTCGACTTAACAAAGTCACCGTGCAACGAACCGTTAACGCTGAACACGCTCAGCCCAGCCAGTTTGCAGATCCGTTGGAAATAGAATCGACGCTCATTGAGAGCAGTTTCAGAAGCTCCGAGCTGAGGATACGGCTGGAGGAGCAGCAACGAGAAAGAAAAAAGATTAACCATGGAGGAGGTTCTCGAGTTGTTTACAAAATAGAATAAAGGAACGGTAACCTGTTGAGGTATCGGATGAAGAAAGAGAGGCTATTTATCATCGAGGATCTGCAGTAAAAGGACTACGACAGACAGTCCAGTCCTTATGGAATTTATTTACGGACGATAGAACCGTCCCGAGAGATTCGGTGCAGGATGTTTCTGTAGTTGGATTTTTGTGGTAGTGGAATCTTGAGATGAAAGTCGTGGGTTTTAGATTTCGGGATTTCAGGATAGGGATGGGGGGTGATATGGAAATTTGGGAATTGGGGGATTGAAGAGGGAGGGTGGGAATTTGGATATTTGAGAATTTGGGGGGTTGAGATTTGGGGATTTGAGAATTTGGGGGTTGAGAATTGGGGATTTGAGAATTTGGGGATTTGGGAATTTGGGGGTTGAGAATTGGGGATTTGAGAATTTGGGGATTTGGGAATTTGGGGGTTGAGAATTGGGGATTTGAGAATTTGGGGATTTGGGAATTTGCAAGCTTGGGAATTGGGGATTTGGGAATTGGGGGTTTCGGAATTTGGAAGCTTAGGGAATTGGGGATTTGGGAATTAGGGACTTGGGAATTGGGGGTTTGGGAATTTGCACGCTTGGGAATTGGGGATTTGGGAATTGGGGGTTTCGGAATTTGGAAGCTTAGGGAATTGGGGATTTGGGAATTAGGGACTTGGGAATTGGGGGTTTGGGAATTTGCACGCTTGGGAATTGGGGATTTGGGAATTGGGGGTTTCGGAATTTGGAAGCTTAGGGAATTGGGGATTTGGGAATTAGGGACTTGGGAATTGGGGGTTTGGGAATTTGCACGCTTGGGAATTGGGGATTTGGGAATTGGGGGTTTCGGAATTTGGAAGCTTAGGGAATTGGGGATTTGGGAATTAGGGACTTGGGAATTGGGGGTTTGGGAATTTGCACGCTTGGGAATTGGGGATTTGGGAATTGGGGGTTTCGGAATTTGGAAGCTTAGGGAATTGGGGATTTGGGAATTAGGGACTTGGGAATTGGGGGTTTGGGAATTTGCAAGCTTGGGAATTGGGGATTTGGGAATTGGGGGTTTCGGAATTTGGAAGCTTAGGGAATTGGGGATTTGGGAATTAGGGACTTGGGAATTGGGGGTTTGGGAATTTGCAAACTTGGGAATTAGGGACTCGGGAATTGGGGATTTGGGAATTTGCAAGCTTGGGAATTGGGGCTTTGGGAATTTGCAAGCTTGGGAATTGGGGATTTGGGAATTGGGGGTTTGGGAATTTGCAAGCTTGGGAATTGGGAGACTTGGGAATTGGGAGTTTCGGAATTTGGAAGCTTGGGGATTTGCAAGCTTGGGAATTGGGGGTTTGGGAATTTGCACGCTTGGGAATTGGGGATTTGGGAATTGGAGATTTGGGAATTTGCACGCTTGGGATTTGGGGTTTGGAAATTTGGAAGCTTGGGAATTGGGAATTTGGGAATTGGAGATTTGGGAATTTGCAAGCTTGGGATTTGGGATTTGGGAATTTGAAAGCTTGGGAATTGGGTATTTGGGAATTTGAAAGCTTGGGAATTGGGGATTTGAGAATTTCCAAGGTTGGAATTTGGGGTTTGAGAATTTGGAGACTTGAGAATCCCAACCTTGAGAATTGAGTTTTGCAAGTTTGGGACATAAGAATCTGAGAATTTATAAAACTGAGAATGCATGCTCCGAAATTTTTTATTCTCTTTGCAAACATCCAAATTGCAAACTGACCAAATTTGCAAAAATTCTAAGAACATCTCAAAAGCGTCCTCTAGAATACCTCTTTCATCAAATCTCCTCGTCCCATCACCCTTCATCCACTTCATAATTACTTTTCCTCTCCTCAAGTCAAAGCAGCAACACAAGTCTCGTCACAATCAATCATAAACAGGGGTGTGAAAATTTCTCGGACGATTGAAATTACCGGTTCGCGAGACAGGAAGCCACGGAACGGATTCGTCCGTTGCGTCGTTGAAATTCAATCTACGCGAGGCAGGATGCTAACCTGTTGAGGAAGCAGACGAGATGGCGGGTGGTGGTAGGAGAGAATTTTTCAAGCGGTTCCAACAACGTGCATAAACCCGAGGAAAGTTGGCGCATCGATTAACACGAACGGGAGGCAAGAATCCTTCGCGATCGCGTCCCACTGTATCGGCGATTTAACTTCCAGCAAAGACGGATCAAAGTTGTCGCCTGAGAAGATAAAAAGGAATCGATTGGATGGTGTTATCCAATCGAGAGGAAACGGATACCTGTTGAAACTACGTACAACCGGGGATCAAGTTTTACGCGAGCTCGAAAACGACTTTCAAGCACTTTTCTAACTCTTGTGCATTATCAAAATGTCACGTACGGCGATTTAACTTGAAATGTATTGGACACGTTTATATACTATGTCTTGTTATATTCTACATTGCTATATATTATAAAAAATGTTATGTAAATGTTATGTTATAGGAAGGATTATTTATGTGCTTTAACAGGTATGGTCAGAAGGGATGTATGTAATAACACATGTTATAAGAATCGAAGACATGGATGGTTGAGGTTATGTCACATACTCGTTGCAGTCGAGTTAAAAATCTTCAGATGGAACTTACAGATGTATTTTATTTTTGCAATTATTATTTTTGTTGATCTACACTGTTATTGATGATAACAGAGATGTTATTGGTGGTAACAATAATGGAGACAGTAGAGGTTATGTCTTTGAACTAAGGGTACTGTCTTTTACGATAAATGTGTTATTGCTCTTTGAGAACTGTTCTTGTCCAAGTTATAATAATAAAAAGATGTACTATTAAGACTTTTTCCTTTAATTCAATTACATTTGAACTACAGCAATAAATCAGTCATAAATGATCACAGTACAGTAGTCAAAATATAATGATGTCTTCATTTTGAAAGTTAAAATGCTGTCCATATAACAGTCTACATATGCTGTCCACACAACAGCCTAAATATACTGTCCACACAACACTCAAAATATAATGTCTAAAAGTATTAAAAATACACAAAAAAGATTCGTAAAATTTTCAAAATATAAAAACCCTCAAACCACCCTTCAAATACAAGAAATCTACAAAAAAATTTATTACAGCTTTCCACTATAAAAATCAGTCAAAATCCATCTGTACAAAAATCGTACCAAAGCACATAACATTAAAAAATCGGACAAAAGCAACAACTTCATACAAAAGAGTCAACTACAAAACCCGAATAATTCGATATAATCCAAAGCCAGCGAATAACAATAAAAGTTAAGAAAATTTTGAAAAGAACCTCGAACGTTCAGCTTCTAAGAAAAAAAGGCCGTGCTTCCTTTGTAAGAGGAAAAGGTGCTTGACGCGGGTGTAAAGATCAAACGAAAGTACCGGAAACTAACCTGTTGAGGTACTAGGTGGATGGAGAGGCTGCTTATAATGGAGACCTCCAATTCGACCATCTCGGAACCGGCCGTATTGTTCGCGTGACAGACGTATCGTCCGGCGTCCTCTTGTCTGGCTGATTGTAGCACCAGCACGCCCGCTCTCGCGTAAATCCTCTCTGAATTGAAGATCATCGCCGTGCCGGTCACGGACTCGCGAAACCATAGATACATCGGGGGTGGTATTCCTTGGGAAATGCACGACAGGACGATCGTCTCGCCTGTGCGGATCGGGGCTGGACTCACCCTCTCGTTGAACCTCGGTGGAACTTGTATGTGGGGATCTGCAAATCATATAATTATTTCTTCGAGATTTTTGTAATGATAGGTTTGGTTAGGTTATTCGTATAATGAGGAATTTGGATGTTTGAGAATTTGGGGGGTTGGGAAATTGGAATTGGGGATTTAAGAATTTGGGGGTAGGAGAATTAGGGATTTGAGAATTTAGGGGTTTGGGAAATTGGAAATTTGAGAATTTGGGGGTTCGAGAATTGGGGATTTGAGAATTTAGAAATTTGAGAATTGGGGATGTGAGAATTTGGAAATTTGAGAATTGGGGACTTGAGAATTTGGGGTATGGGAATTTGGAAATTTGGAAAATGGGGGTGTGGAAATTTGGAGAGGTGGAAGTCTGCAAGGGTGGAGATTTGGGGATTTAGAAATTTGGGGAAGTGGGAACTTGAAAATATAGGAATTTGAAAATTTGGAAATTGGGGATGTAGAAATTTGGGAAAGTGGAAATTTGGGAAGATGGAAATTTGCAAGGGTGGAGATTTAGGAATTTAGAAATTTGGGAAAGTGGGAATTTGAGAATATAGAAATTTGAAAATTTGGAAATTTGGGAAGATGGAAATTTGCAAGGGTGGAGATTTAGGAATTTAGAAATTTTTGGAAATTTGAGAATTGGGGATTTGAGAATTTGGGGTATGGGAATTTGGAAATTTGGAAAATGGGGGTGTGGAAATTTGGAGAGGTGGAAGTCTGCAAGGGTGGAGATTTGGGGATTTAGAAATTTGGGGAAGTGGGAACTTGAAAATATAGGAATTTGAAAATTTGGAAATTGGGGATGTAGAAATTTGGGAAAGTGGAAATTTGGGAAGATGGAAATTTGCAAGGGTGGAGATTTAGGAATTTAGAAATTTGGGAAAGTGGGAATTTGAGAATATAGAAATTTGAAAATTTGGAAATTTGGGAAGATGGAAATTTGCAAGGGTGGAGATTTAGGAATTTAGAAATTTGGGAAAGTGGGAAGTGGCACAAAGGAAAGACAGTCCTAATAATTATCCTAATATTCTCCACACCCCAATTCTTTCTCCAAAGAGCTAAATACAGCAGGAACAAATTTAAGCAACTCTGTATTCATACATATCTTGGTTTTATGTTACACATAAATAAGTCTTCATACAAAGTTTTATATTTCAATTATTATGTCTGTACGAAGATAACGAAAAGCTGCGAGTAAACTTGTCCCAAGAAATTGAGAACAGTAAACGTTTTCGGTACGATTCCACGAAGAATAGGTTACAATAAACTTGAAGAACTCTTCGTTACGTTTGTTAAACCCATTTCCGTATACTTCGGGTTAAAACCGTGACCCTATTTTGTCTGCAAACTTCATGCCATAAAATCTGCTACTGGACTTCGTAATAAGACAAATAGTCTCTTATTTACATATAGTCTTTTATTTAGAGCCATGTATAATTTAAAGAATACTCCAAATACATTCTTAGAATACCTCAAAAAAAATAATTATTACTATAAGCACCAAATTGTCAAATTTACTGTGTCGTAAATAATGAATTACTATGGAGTAAATAATGAATTTGCAAGGACTATACTCCTAGGACTAAACATCCTTGTAAACGTATCCATTACAAATGTTTGATGACTAGAATAGAATCGACAACGTTCATCAAACTTCCGTGTCGAATTGCAGGCCAGTAAAAATTAGACGAACAATCGGAACGCTGCGCCGGCGAACAAAACGTTCCGCTTTAAAGCTCTGACCGAAAACTCGATGGATCCATTCTGAACCGGTTAACCGGCTAAACGGTTGGATTCCCGCCGATGAACAGGGAAAATGGAGAAAAGCTCGCTGTGGGAAACTGGAAATTGATATGTTATTTCAAAGTTCGCGCGAGAAACTTTTATACGTGTTTTTTGACTCGATCCTGTTTGCGTATCTGGGATCTCTTTTTTTGGGGAGGGGGATTAGGCTTCATCGGCCATGCAAATTTCGACGTTTGGCGGTTTTTATGCTTGCAAAGTTGGGAATTTGGGATGTGGAGGGTTTGGTATTTGGGGATTTGGGATTTGCAAGGTTGGGAGTTGGGGATTTGGGAATTGGGGGACTTGGGAATTGCGGATTTGGGAATTGGGAGACTTGGGGATTGGGGATTTGGAGATTTGCACGGGTGGGAATTTGGGGATTTGGGAATTGGGGGACTTGGGAATTGGGGGACTTGGGAATTGGGGATTTGGAAATTGGGGGACTTTGGAACTGGGGATTTGAGAATTTGCAAGCTTGGAAATTGGGGATGTGGGAATTTGCAAGCTTGGGAATAGGGGATGTGGGAATTCGGAAGCTTGGGAATTGGGGATGTGGGAATTTGCAAGCTTGGGAATAGGGGATGTGGGAATTCGGAAGCTTGGGAATTGGGGATGTGGGAATTTGCAAGCTTGGGAATAGGGGATGTGGGAATTCGGAAGCTTGGGAATTGGGGATGTGGGAATTTGCAAGCTTGGGAATAGGGGATGTGGGAATTCGGAAGCTTGGGAATTGGGGATGTGGGAATTTGCAAGCTTGGGAATAGGGGATGTGGGAATTCGGAAGCTTGGGAATTGGGGATGTGGGAATTTGCAAGCTTGGGAATAGGGGATGTGGGAATTCGGAAGCTTGGGAATTGGGGATGTGGGAATTTGCAAGCTTGGGAATAGGGGATGTGGGAATTCGGAAGCTTGGGAATTGGGGATGTGGGAATTTGCAAGCTTGGGAATAGGGGATGTGGGAATTCGGAAGCTTGGGAATTGGGGATGTGGGAATTTGCAAGCTTGGGAATAGGGGATGTGGGAATTCGGAAGCTTGGGAATTGGGGATGTGGGAATTTGGAAGCTTGGGAATTGGGGATTTGGGAATTTGGAAGCTTGGGAATTTGGAAGCGTGGGAATTTGAAAGCTTGGGAATTGAGAATCTAGGAATTTGGAAGCTTGGAAATTGATGATTTGAAAATTTGCAAAATTGGGATTTGGTGCCTGAGATTTTGGAGACTTGGAGACTACACAATTTCTCATCCATACTGCATTAAACCACCCAGTCCAAAATTCAAGAAGCTCAGTGTCCACAAGGAGCTTTAACCAACGAATCCTAGCGATACGATTCTCCCAGCAATTTCTCTGCAGTCCATCGTTACAATCGAAATACATTTCGAATCTCCAGTTCCTCTAAAATGAAATCTCCACGGACCAGTCGAGAAAGGGACAAAGAACCAGGTATCAATTTTTCACGGTCGCGTAAAACCTCCTTTTGTTCCTGTTACGTATTACCCGAGTTAGTACGGCCGCGCAAATTTACATTTCTTCTCTTTCCACTCTCGTTTAGTATATAACTTCCACATTACTTTCCCGCTTTAATTACGCGTCAGGAACAATCGCGTGGCTTACCTACGATTCTCATGATTAATTCGCGAGCGACGACCGTATTTATCTTGTAAAATGTAAAGCCATCGCCGCGAAACGTTTTGACAACTTCAACGTTCATAAATGTTCTAAAGAATTGGTGGCATTCAAATATTGACATTTCGACACGATAGAATCGCGTACTTTTTTTGCTCTTTCGCAGCTGCTCCGTTATTGTTAATTCGACGATAAATATTAACTGTGACTCGTAACAGTGCGCCATTGATCGCGGACGATCGATCACGCGTTTAATAACTCGGGATATACGTACAAACGTGGATGCTATTTATCCTCGCGTCTACTCGACGCTACGAGAGGATGTAGCGATGTTTCGTTCCATCAAACAAGCGGTCGATGGAAGCCGTCATCCAATTTACCGGAATCTTGACTGTCTAATGGCGGCCGAAAATAATGGACATTTCACTCCTGTTTCGCCTATGATTAAACGACGAATGGCGGGCCATAAAACAACACAGGGCCAATTTTGCTCTGCAAACTTTTGTTGTAGGTCACGTTACTCACACGTTTATGACTTTGCAAGACTCATTTACATTGTACATTTAATCACTTTATTCAATGTTAGTCATTTTGGTTTAGATTATGGTTTAGATTAAGCTGTTAGATTAAGGTATTTTACAGAAACATGCATCATTTCTGTACTGAAATATAGGTCAAAATATTGGAGACATTTAACATTGAATTCTATGTAAAAATTATGAACACACAATTTTTATGATAGCTCCTCCAGTTTTTTCATTATACTTCCTCATAAAAAGTTTTATTATTCAAATATGAATAATAGCATGATTTTGTTATAAAACTACACAGCGTTCAATACGAGATGTGTATGAGAACACATATAATTTTTAATGGCTGTGTGATTTCTCACACATGTGTTCATAATATAGGTTCTCTGACTGTAAACGTCCATTGCTAAATATTTATAAAAATGGCAAAACGAGGTACAAAAATATTCTTCAGAACTTATAAAGCTTTCTCAACAGCTAAAATAGAAGTTTCGAAATTTGACATGTTTTAAAAAATATTGAGTTTTAACTTCGTACTTTAGGTAATTAATATATTAAGGTTTTAATATGAAACGTTTAGAAGATGTACAAAAGGGGTTGAAATATAAAGCATTGGGTCACAACTGACCCGGGTTAACCGAACGGGACGTGTTTGTCGTCACATCGGAGCTTTTTACGTCCGCACTATTTCATAATGGCGCACTCGCTTTGTCTGGCCGGCGTTATTATTGTAATTTAAGCTGATGGCGTATTGATCGTTGCTTGCCTCTATCTCTCACGCACTCACTCTCCCGCAGCCTCTCAAATTGTCCCTCTTTCTCTCTCCAGCACGCTATTTCTCTCGCTTGTGCAATTCCAGTTGCCATATTCCAGCAACGCCCCGCCACCACACCCTTGTTCATACCGGCGCTCGTTGCACCGGCTCGTGCATATGTACGGCTCGAAACTTTTTATGCCATTTACATCCGACTTACGCCTGAACGTCGGTGTCGTTCCCGTTGACGTTGACCGGCGTTGGAAAAATACAACGGAAAAAAAAATTGACGGCCGTTAGTTCGTCGGTCAATCGATGCTCGAATTGA